TACTTGCCACGGTTGTGGAGGTAAGCATTTCAAAAGTAATTGTTTTTTTCAAGAACAAAAAATGCTATGAATGTGGAAGGGTAGGACACAAAAATACTTGTTGAAGATGCAAAAAATGGAGGAAAAATAAAATGTGTGTGAACATGATAAATACATAGAGTAAAGATAAGAAGCATAAAAGGAAAATTAACAAGACTTAGAACGTGTTTTTAACTGAGTTAGAAACATCACAAAAGAGGAAATTTATTTTTGGAGAAATTAAGAGTGTAAAAATAAAATTACAACTGGATACAGGATCTGATATCACTATCATAAAGGAACAGACATGGAGAAAAATAGATAAACCCAGTTTATTGACTTGTAATAAAGTTGCGCATGTAGTTTCTGGAAAGAGATTGAACTTTTCGGGTGAATTCACCTGTAAAATTTCTTTTGTTGGAAAAACCAAGAAAGTGGTGGTGTTTGTATTAAAAAATACAGCTAATTTGATTGGAACAGACTGGATTGCATTATTTGATCTTTGGGACCTTCCAATTAACTTTTTTTTGTAAAATAAATATTGTTACATACAGTGCTAATATGGCAACTGAAAAATTAAAGAATGAATTGAAAATGAATTTTCCCATTTTTCAATGGAGTTAAATGAAAGTCTAAAACAATATACTACTCATTACCAAGTCCAGAGGAAATTTTTGCAAATTAAATGGTAGTAAATTTCTTCTAAATTGGACCTGTCAGACACTTACATACAAGTACTAGTAGATGAAGAGTGCTCAAAACTATTAACAGTTAACACTCATAGAAAGTTATACAAATTTAACTGACTTGGTATAAAGGTAGCACCAAGCATATTCCAACAGATTATGAACATGACTGCTTACCAGTTTGGATTGTGCACAAGCATATTTAGATGATGTACTTATTAACCGTAAGACTCGAAAGTAACACACAGAAGATGTAAAAAAAGTATTTGAGAGAATTAAAGATTATGGCTTTAAGATCAGTGAAAGAAAATACAAATTGTTTATGTCCAGACTTAAATATCTAGACAAATTATTGATGAAAATGGTAGACGACCGGATCTTTCAAGGGCGAGCACAATAAAAGACATGCCCAACAAATCTAACAAAGTTACAAGCATTTTTAGGGTTTGTTAATTATTATCATATATATATATATACCAAACATGAATGAATTAAGAGCACCATTTGAATAACATGCTAAAGAAAGATGTGAAATGGAATTGGTCAGATAAATGTCAAAGTGCTTTTGAAGAGATCAAGAAAGTCTTGGCGTTGGATTTTTCACTAGCTCATTTTGATCCTAAATTAAAGATTGTGATTGCATCAGATGCAAGTGATTCATGTAGTGGTGATACTACACAAATATGAGGACGGAAAAACTAAACCAATAGCTCATGCTTCAAGGTCATTAATTGCAACTGAAAAAAATACAACCAAATATAAAAGGAAGCATTGGCCATCATATTTGCTATGAAAAAGTTTCATAAATTCATACATGGTAGAGAATTCATACTATAGACAGAGCATCATCCTTTATTATCCATATATGGATCAAAAATGGGTGTTCCCACATATACAGCAAATAGACTGCAGCACCAGGGAAATATCCTATTGAACTATAATTATAAAATGGTGTTTCTACCATCCAAAAAATTAAGTCATGTAGATGGATTATCTAGACTAATACCAAAATTTTGTGAGCCACTTCAGGACACAGTAATTGCAGCAATAAGGGCTGAAAATTAAATTTATAATGTATTATACAATACTGTAAAAGAACTGCCCACAACATTGGTGGAAATAAGAATTAAGAAAGAAAATGACAAATTTATAATGAAAATGAAGAAGCAATTAAGATTTAAAGGAAAAAATATTACAGGAAATAATGCATTTTCATTATGTAATAATGTACTTATGTATGCAGAAAGAATTGTGATTGTTGCAAAAACACATGCTAAAAGAATTTCACATAGGACATCCAGGAATTTCTGGAATGAAATCCTTAATGAGGTGTTATACTTATTGGCCAAAAATGGATCAAGATATTGAAAATTTAGTGAAATCATGCAGAGGTTGTGCTCTAGCAGTCAAGTCGCCGCCTATCAAAATTCAACCTTGGCCAAAAACTGATATGCCATGGTCCAGAATACGTATAGACTTTGCAGGACCATTAAATGGAGCATACTATCTAGTGGAAGTTCATAGTTACACTAAATGGCCAGAAATATTAAAATGTAGAAGACTGACTACCGTGGTAATGATAAATTTCCTACACGAGATTTTTGCAAGGTTCGGTGTTCTTAACTCTATCGTTTCAGACAATGGGACACAATTCACATCTAGTGAATTTAAAATTTTTGTAAATCTTTAGCAACAGAACATATTACAACTCCTCCTTATCATTCAAGATCAAAAAGGATAAGTTAAACAGTTTGTCAATATGTTTAAAAGGGCACTAAAAAAGTTGGAGGGAGAGGAGTCAGATGAAATAATGCTACAACAATTTCTGAATGTTTTCAGAATAACACCAATCCATTGTGTCTGGAATGTCACCTGCAGAGTTGATGTTTGCTAGGAAGATTAAGTCCATTTTTAATAAATTATTACTAGAATGTAAGGCAAGAGCATCAAGAAATAACAATATAAGTAAATACTTCAAACGTGGAGATAAGGTATTTTTATAATGTATCAATGTGGAAAAGAATTCTGGGAAGATGGAGTTATAAAAAAACGGATTGGCAAAATGACATACACAGTACAGGGACAAAGGTAGGAACATAAGCAGCACCTTAATCAGTTAAAACACAGATTCACTGATTTAAAAAGTCTCTGAAAAGAGGTATCGATGGAAATTTTGTATGATATGTTTGACATACACACACCATTAGAAATTGTTGAACCAAGGGTTTAGGTAAGAGAAAAAGAATAGCAGCCAAATTTCTAAATATTGAACTGAAGCTGAAGAAATATAGACTCCAGAGGAAGTCGTCTCAAAGGAGAGGTGTCATATAGGAATAAAGTGTCACTGCTGACACTTGGGTTTGGACGTGGATCACCAGAGAGCAAGCACAGTCTGCCTCAACTCGAAATAATTAGATCAAATGACGGGTAAAGGAAAAATTTATATATGGAATTGGTGGCGTCTTAGTGAGTATTGTTCGAAGGCATTGCTATCTGTGATTTACAAAGTCTCTCCTACAAACATTCATTACAAAAATTTTATTCTTAAAATGTATGAAGCTGGAATGAATCACCCTCTGTTAAATGTTTTGAATATATATTTTGAATTAAATGATTATTTAAAAATCTTTATGCAAAAAAACATTTGTATTTATTTCAATACTGTTGACAACATTAAGTCAAATCAATTATTGGCCAGGTAATAAAAATTCAAACCAATTAATGTTTACTTCAAAAAGAAATTAATATGAGAATATGTATAATAAAATTACAAATAATTAGAATAAACTTACGTGTTGGTGTTGGTGTGGTCACTATAAAGGGAAATTGGTAAATATATGTTAAAAAATATAAGCTATAATATATATGTGCAAAAGTAAACTATATATATATATATATATATATACACACACACACAGATATTCAGGTAAACTACATTCTTTTGTTCCACTCATTCAGAACTTCACAGTTAGGACCATCTATGCCATGTATACTGAGTCAACTCATCCTTATTTCCTTTGTATTCTACTAGTAAGGAGGAAGTTCCACTCAAACAGGCTCTTCCCTAGATCTGTTATGTTATGGAACTACTCTCAAAAGGATATTTCCTCAATCAATACAATCAACCACTTCAAGTCTAGGATCAACTGTTATCTATCCTACATATCCTCATAGCATGTATTTCTTACTCCTTCCTTGTATGACCTTACAACAACATCAGTAACCCACTAGTGGCTCTTGTGAACAATAGTATAAAAAAAATCTAATGTTAACAAACATAATGAATTAAAATAAGTGACAAATTATTAAAAAGGTAATTTCTACATTTTTAGTGAATATTATGGCAAAGTAAGAAAAAAAAATTTTATGAGGGAGTGATGAAAAGTTCTCTGCCTAGCCCACTTCCCAAAATTTGACCAAATGATCAAACATAAGAATTACATTTGGAATCCATTTCCTGGTCAGGCTGAGAACTCCCACTTCTTGTAAATTATGAATAAGAATATAAGAATTGTTACAATCAAAATGAAATTTTATCATATTTGAAAACCAGTAGGATAAACTTAAAAAAGGAGATGGTCCTCAATATGCAAAGGCAATTTGGTATGCCAATATCAAGCCATGAGAACTTTGTGCAGATTAAATGTAGTGTAGTTTTACTATTTTTTTTTAAGAAAAGAACAGGCATCTTTTATACTAAAGTTTAACTTGGGGATAAAGAGAAATTAAGATTTAATTTTGTAAAATATCTTATTAAGAATAAAATACTGCAGAAAATACTTACATGCTGATTGGAAACACCCAATGATTGATACAGTAACCTGTATTTTACAGTTTGGCCTCTCTGATGTAAAATGGATCTTGACTGTATCTGCAGTTGTACCAAATGGAATTATTACAATGTCATTTGGCCCATTGTTCTGAAAAAGAGAAATACAGTTTTTAATTTTTTGTTTAGTATATACATAATTATTATTTACTCTTAACAATGTCAAACATCAGTACAAAACAAATTTGTAGTCTTCTGCCAGATCAAGCAAAGATTTGATGTGAAAGTATTTCAAAATGAAAGTTAATTGTTTTTTAATATGTATGAATTTAAAAAATAATTTAATAATGTTTAAATGGACAAGATTTATATAATAAAAACAAAATTAAAGATTCATTATTTTATAAAATAAATTACCTTGAACCTTTCTGCATTTCTTTCTTGACTTCCACTGAGAATGACATCATATTTTCCAACACATTTAGATTTCTGAAGCCTCATGTTGGCCCCATAAATAAGAGCATCACCAACAAAAAGGCTAACTGTAGTTTTCTTATCTCCAGCTTCAGGTGTCCATCCTTTTGCACCTGGTCGAATATCAGCCTTATGTTCTTCATTACTGGAAACATCAATGTCCCAGTTCCTTATCAATGAAGAATCAGCCAAGCCATCTTGCTTGACACACAAAGAAGCTGCAAAAGAAAAAGTATAAATCAAAATCTTGTAATTAATATTTTTGTCAATGATTTCTTAGAGTGTTATGATTATTTTAAATACTGTTTTGAGTGAATCTTATTTTCAACTACAGGTTGAACTTAGTGGAGTACAACTGTGAAGAAACTGTTTTAATAAGTCTACTTCTATTATTGAAAATATTGTATTCTTCATTATGCCAAGTGCCTTTAAACAAAACAACTTTCATAGCCAATTTATTGTAACTAAGACACATCATTGTTAAAACTCATCCATTCACATGCATTGAATGAACACTGAAATGAGAAGTTCATTAAAATTATACATTTCCTATTAGGAAGATAAAAATGTAGAATTTATAAATAAGCAGCAAATATTCACTTACCAGTTTCTGTTGATGGTTTTGGGGTTGGTGTTGCTGAAATGCATAATAAGTAAATATATTTATGTTCCACAAACCATAGCAAATTGCTTTATATTTATATAAGGTTTCTTGATATACATTACATAAATTTTACATGATTCATTACTAACTTTAAATACATTAGTTTTGGCAATATTTTCCAATATCACTACAGAAATAAAATAGAATATTAGGATAACTAAATAAAATATTATATATATATATATATATATATATATATATATGCAAGTATGTATGTCTTTTAGAAATGGATTAAATAAATTAAATATATATATATATATATATATATATATATATAGATAGATAGATAGATAGATAGATAGATAGATAGATAGAGAGAGAATAAACAACTATTGTATAGAATTAATTTCACTAAATGAAAGCAGTTTAAAGCTTTTTCAGTCTATTTACATCAATTTATTTCAATAAAATTACTATGTTAAATAAATGAAATAGTGTTCAAATACTATTAAACAAAGATTTTCATATGTAAATAATGGAAAATCTTACGTGTTTTTGTTGATGTGGTGGCTGCAAATGGAAATGAAATTAGAAAATTAAAACTTAAAAAAAATTTCCTTTTAAATTAATTCATTAAAAAGTAAAATTTACACAAAAGAATAATAGCATATAAAACAATGTATACAATTGAAGTAAGTGATTAAGTAAAGGGAATCTAGCTGAATCTAATTTTGCAAAATCTCATAAGAAAATTATTAGAGAAAATACATACATGCTGATTGGAAACATCCAATGATTGATACAGTAACCTGTATTTTACAGTTTGGCCTCTCTGATGTAAAATGGATTTTGACTGTATCTGCAGTTGTACCAAATGGGATTATTATAATGTCATTTGGCCCATTGTTCTAAAAATGCACAAGATAAGGATTTTTAAAATTGTACAAAAAATGATGTTTGACAATAAAAATTGCAAGCAGAGTCAACTTAGTTTGAAAAATTAACGTATTTGTTTAAAATCTTTTGAATTATCACAATCTGATTAAAAACCTCATAATTTCATGTATAATATGAAAGGATTATTAGTGGTTTTAAGATACTTTCAACATCACGTGAACAATCAAGTTGCATTTAACAAAAGAAAATAGGTATATAACTTTCTTTTAATAAATTACCTTAAATCTTTGTACATTTTCTTGTCCACCTCCACTGAGAAAGACATCATATTTTCCAACACATTTAGATTTCAGAAGCCTCATGTTGGCCCCATATATAAGAGCATCACCAACAAAGAGGCTAACTGTAGTTTTCTTATCTCCAGCTTCAGGTGTCCATCCTTTTGCACCTGGTCGAATATCAGCCTTATGTTCTTCATTACTGGAAACATCAATGTCCCAGTTCCTTATCAATGAAGAATCAGCCAAACCATCCTGTTTCACACACAAAGAAGCTGCAAAAGAAAAAAATTATTAGTTATTTAGATACAATAATATATTTTTCTTTTTATGATATAAGTAAATAATTGTTTTTGATCATTCAAAATTAAAATAGCCATTTTTAGATAATAAAATGCTCACCTGTTTCTGTTGAAGGTTTTGGGGTTGGAGTTGGTGTTGCTGAAATGTGCAAAATATTTTACCATGAATATAGAAAAAAATTGTTGTAGGAAACAACTATTTGCATTATTTAAATAAATGTTAGATATAAATTGTTAATTACATTGTTCTAATAGATCGTAAATGATGATGAAGATTATATTTCAAAATCTGTGACACTTTGCCAGCATCATACAAGGCAAATATCATTTGAAATTGAAACAATATATGATATTTAAAATATAAATCAATTTTATGCTTTAACTTTTGACTGACAATTATTTCTAAAAGGTAATTGTATACATACTTGTTGCTTTTGGAGTGGTAGCTGAAAAAGAACATTTTTAAGAAATTATGAAAAAAAAAAAAATAACAAAATATGATGTACAAAACACATCACTTTATATCTTATTTCAAATCTGATTGTTAATATTTTTTTTCTATAGCAGACAATTTATATCAGGTCATCCCATAAGTTCTGTCTGAATTTTGAATAAAGAAAACAAGTCACCAAATGTTACATTTAATTACAGATTCAATCAACAATGTATTTTCCCTGATTATTTATGACTTCCTTCCATCTATTAACAAGCTTACTAATTCCATTACTGTAAAATTCTTTTGGCTTTGATTCGAAGAACTCTCAAATGTCAGATTTAACCTCTTCCTGTGTTACAAAAGCTGTTTCTTCCAAATGATTCTGTAAGCTATGAAACAAATGGTAGTCTGAAGGAGCAAGATCAGGAGAATAAGGTGGATGAGGAATTTTCTCCCAACCAAGTTCTTTGATCTTTTGTGATGTGATTCCTGCTGTGTGGGGTTGTGCATTGTCCTGATGAAACATCACCCTTTTTCAATTCACTGGAGCAGGTCTTTTTTTTCTCAAAGTTTGGTTCAAACGCTCTAATTGCTGACAGTATATTTGAGCGTTAATTGTTACATTAGGTGGTAAGAATTCAAAGTGGATTATTCCTTGGCGATCCCACCAGATTGAAAGAAGAACCCATGAAGTTCCCTTCTTGGCTGTGGCTGGGGTCCTCCCCCTTTTCCAAGCTACTGTCTACGACCCTTAACCTTTCAATAAAAGATCCATTTTTCATCGCCAGTCACAAGTCTATCCAAAAAAAGGTGAAACAAGTTGGCGAAAATAGAGAGAAGAGCAGATGTCAACTCGAGATTTGAGGTTGTTTTCAGACAATTCATGAGGCACCCATTTTCCAAGTTTAGGAACTTTTCCAAGTTGTTGAAGATGATGAACAGTTGTATGGATTGAACTGAGAACCACTGCCAATTCCTCAACTGATAAAGCAGGATTTTCTTCAACGGCTGCTTCAAGAAGCTTTTTATCAGACTCAACTGGATGTCCAGTTCGATCTTCATCTTCAAGGGTGAAATCTCCACCTCTGAATTTTGCAAACCATCTTCTGCAAGTCCTTTCATTCACACATTCCTCTCCATAAACTGAGTGAATGTTTCTAGCTGCTTCGGCTGCTGAGTTTCCTTTCTTGAACTCATAAAGCATTATGTGCCTGAAATGATTCTTGGGTACTTCCATGTTAGCTGGGTTTAAATCAAACAAAATTTAATTTTATTGTTCCCTGAAATAAAATTTTATCAGTTTAAATGCATCTAAACATAAAAATAATGTTCAGCTCCATTAGACATTATAAAATACTCTTTAAATTTTGTTCATTTTAACAACAAGTTAAAATGCGGACAGAACTTATGGGATGACCTGATATAAAAAAAACTCAAGGAAAAACTTTATATTAATCACATATTCCTTTCATAGAATTATTATTTAAATATGAAATATTGATTTTAAGTGAAACTTCATAACTAATTCGTGAAAACACTAATCAAGATTTTAAATACTTACATGCTGATTGGAAACATCCAATAATGGAAACCGTGACCTGCATTTTACAATTTGACTTCTCAGCAGTAAAGTGGATTTTCACTGTATCTGCCGTTGTACCAAATGGAATTATTACAATATCACTTGCTGCATTATTCTAAAGATACAATGAAATACAAATGTTATTATTAATACACATGCATTCAAAAAGATGATATAATTATAAAAATTACTTTATTACAATTCATGAAGAATATAAGATTCATGAATATAAAATTCATAATGAATTTATTTTCATGTAATTTACCTTGAGTCTCTGTACATTTCCTTGTCCACCTCCACTGAGAAAGACATCATATTTTCCAACACATTTAAATTTCTGAAGCCTCATGCTGGCCCCATAAATGAGAGCATCACCAACAAAGAGGCTAACTGTAGTTTTCTTATCTCCAGCTTCAGGTGTCCATCCTTTTGCACCTGGTCGAATATCAGCCTTATGTTCTTCATTACTGGATACTTTAATATCCCAATTCCTTATCAATGAAGAATCAGCCAAACCATCTTGTTTGACACACAAAGAAGCTGCAAGAGAAATATTAGATAAAAATTTTAAAAAAAGTCTTATTCCTTTTAATGCCTTGTTAGACCAAGTAATAATGTTCTTACAAATATTTTTTTGTTTTTAAAATATAGTAAACTAAGGCTGAGTAAGATATTTCTAGTTGCATATAAATATAAATATATTTTTGTAATCCAAAAAATGTTTGTTTTTCACTAAACAATTTAGTCACTAATCCACTGGAAATGCTTGACTTTCCAGTTATTGTTGGGACACATCATATACATTGAATGAACACTGAAATCATAAATTTAATAAAAAACATTAATTCCCTTGGTTTTCTCTTTGAATGATAAAATTTAGTATTTATAAATAAGCAGTACATGTTGGCTTACCTGTTTCTGTTGGTTTTGGTGTTGCTGAAATATAAGCAAATATATTTGAAGCAAATATTTAATGAACAATATTTTGTTCTACTTCTGTGGCTTTATACCAGATTAAGTTGATCTAAGTTAGTATCTACATTTCTGATTGATCATTTATTTCACATCGATTACTTAGTAGATGTTTATTTCCTTACCTACTTCTTGTAATAAAGCTCC